ATGTGTTTTGCTGGAATGGCAAACGTTCATCCAAATATTCTCATTTTTTTACTCATATTTTTTAAGATTTTACAAAGTTTTATTATTTTTCCACATATAAATACAAGATCACATTTAAATCATCCTTAAAACATCAATTATCTCACATTTCGACATAACATCGTCAGCAGCATCTAGTACTCTTGCTCCATTACAGCTGTTGGTCTCATTCCAGCATCCTGGTTTTAGCTGTGATACATTTCCTGCTCTGTCTGTCCACCTGCAAGTTGATTAATGTGGCCAGTCTCTGGGTGGAGACTAAACCTGATTTAAGCCAGCCAAGCCTGCAGTCTCATGCTTGTAATAGCTTGTGTAATACATGCTCAAGCTCCCTGTCTGTCTGTCCTGCTCTGCTGTTTGGATTTCCCTGTTTATGACCTCAGATTGGATATTGACTATTCTATGAACTGTGCCTACCTGTTGACTACAGATTGGACCCTGACTATTCTGAACCTTCCCTACCTGGACTGTCATTGAACCACTCTGCCAACTGCAAGTACCTGTCTGCTGTGCTCAGTTCACACCTGTCCCAGCGTGGTAGTCAGGCACTAGAGCATTGTGTGTAAGTCTTGGGGGCAACCGAGAACCACTAGGCCGGCTTGCCTTATGGAAAAGAGGCTGCTATAGGTAAAGAACACAGAAGCCAGCTATTGTGCCTGATTCCCTGCATTATGGGTAAGCGTGACAAACAAATAAGGAAAGACACAACCAAAAAAAAAAAAGGGGGTAAGTCCCAATAGCCCTATGCTTCTAATGTATGACATCATAAGAAAATCTCCTCTCTCTATCCCCTCTTAGGCTCCGTGCACATTTGCTTAACAAAACGCTGCTCCTAGAGGAATTTAGTGTTTTGTCTGTATAGTGCTACTCTCTTGAGGGCCGCTTTGTTTCTGGGTTCCCCTAAACTTCGCATAGCCATGAAACAAGAATTTTCCACACTTGCATCCACAGTCAGTGAACAGTCCATAAGCTTAGTTTTTATTACTTAAGTAGGGGAAATAACTTGAATAGGGTAATAGGGATTATGGGATGCCCAGCTTGACTAAATCAATGCACAGGGGCAACTTCCTTCTATTGACAGAAACAGATCCTGGGCTGTTCTTTTTCTTGACAGTGGTCATTCTTTACGGATCAGTAGCAACAGCTAGGGACTCTCAGCCCCTATGGAAGTTAGCTTAGATTGGTACAAACTACATGCAGAGATATCTCCTCTCCCCAGTAGAACTGCTCCAAGCTCCACAGCCCATAGACACTACCAGCCGTCCTGGCTGCTCTGAAGATCTCCCAGGAAAAGGATTAAGCATGGCGCTGTCCTTTGAAAGCTTGCTACACGTGGCAATTTCTCCCCTTGCGAATCTCTTGGTGTGCTGATTTACTCACTCTGTCCTCCTTGCTCCCACTGCTCCCAGGCATGGATCCTGTTCATACTACGATGCTGAATGGATCCTCCCTAGCCAGCCAGAGCTCAGCCTGGAGCCATGCCCTCCTAGACCTAGGGGACCCCTCCCAGGCCACATACAGCTTCCTCAGCACTCCATATTCCACCCAGCTCCCTCGCTAGCTTGACTCTCCCATATGTATGGGTTGGACTCACCACTCTATCAGGGCCTCCAAACCTGGGATTGGTTAAACTCCCATAAACATGCACATTTAGGTCTCCACCCACTGCCACTAACTTCTGGAAGCTTCCATGGTCCTCCAGAACCAGGTGGAGGCGATAGAATCTCAATCTGTTAAGCCACCCATCCTGACCTGCAGTAACCCGACCTTATTACAGACTCACACAGTCCCCGTGACTCATACACAATAAATTTACCTTCCTTAATACTAGTGGCACACTAGAGGGTGCTACACCTGTACAAGCAACTAATGTTATCCTACATGTCCATGCACATTAGGTAGTGTGAAGACTTTGTTTTAAGCTCAGCATTTAGAGGCAGAAAACAACCCTTTTGTTTTGCACTTTGGAGAGAGTTTTTCTGGCAGAAGAAAATGTTAAACGCACCTAAACACTAGTACAAAAAAAGCTCAAAATTAGCGTTCTTTTTCTGCCAAGAACACTGGAGGTTTTTTTAAGCCACTGTGCATGTACTCTGCTCATTTCCTTTTCTACTACTTTTCTCCTTCTTAACCCATTCCCTATTCCCCTTCTGCACAGATACCACGGTCTTGGTGGTCCTTTTGTCCCAGAATCAATTTCCTTCCTTATCTCAAAGCCATCCTACCCCTCCCTGAGGCCATACCCCACCATCCCTCATACTGGTATTCTCTTGAAATGTGGCAACCAAAAACTCATTTAAAGTTTAAATATATGAATAATTAAAACAAAAATATAAAGTAGATTAAAAAAAGATAAAGGGAGTGAGAATAATAATCTGGCCTTCTGCCTCAACCTTCTTCCTACTCTCTGTATAGTGAAACGTAAAGTAATTTATCCTGCAGTGCTTCTGTAAGTCATAACACTAAATTTACCAATAAATAGATATTACCCTTCTTTCATTAGTGACTTCTCTATGGAGGACTATTAAAGTGATGCAATGAGCTCCTATTTCCTACTGGGAAGGATGTAAAGAGGGTGAAGTGGGGAAGATCCTAAGGGGCCTACTGACCACTGTTCTGCAATGTAGAATGCCCACCCCAAATCTGTTCTTCTTCATCTTCATCTTCAGTTGCCTACAGCTTCTATCTCATCCTACCTATCCTTGATTCTGAAATGTAATCCATACTCATGACTGAGAGACTACAGGCTTCCAATGGGTCAAATCAGGCTTGATGCCTCCAGATGTCTCGCTCCTCTTTGCAGAAAATCCCCAGATATTCCATTGTCCTTATGGCACTCACAACGTCTCATGCAAAACCAAAACTACCACATCCATAGTGCAGAATATCATATTAGCTGCTTGAAGTGCAGTATTTGCTAGTCTGATGATCCACTTAGTAGATAGGTGCTGACATCTAAAGGTTCATCCTGAAAAACATAGTAGCTTTGCAGTATGTAGGCACCGCACTACTGATTGCCCTATGGGTAATAGTAATGGGACGTGGCCTCAGCCTTGGCTTCTCCTAAGCCACACCCACTGATATATTTTGCCCCACCTACAGGACTTTAGACAAACCTATAAGACTAAGCCCTGGGGGTTTAGGAGAAGCCAAGGCTGAGGCCTCTTCCCATTACTATTACACATAAAGCTATCAGCAGTGTGGCGCCTACGTAAAATAAAGATGGTAGACCCTCAACTCCCGGTTCCTGCCTATGCCCAAGGAACAAAATCTTGGAGGACAGCTCTCTAAAAAATCCTATTCCAGCAGTATTTGACCCTTCAGGAGCAGCTTCAAAATTGGGGGCAGCCAGTAAATCTGAGACCATGTGTAAGTGGTCACAGTCCCTAAAAGAGAAGGAATTTGTGTTTTTTTTATAGTCATACTTGCCTAGGTGGATGCAGCATTGGACTGTCCCCCGCGGACTCTAAGGGTGATAATTCAGCGATCACATGACTGTTCTCACAGCCACTCCCCCCCTTCCGTGCTCACTGAAACGCTGGGCTGTGGAAGGGGAGGGAGTGAATCGCTGAGACACTGAGCAGGGGCAGACTGACAACTCATGGGGCCCCTGGGCAGTAGGGGATCATGGGGCCCCTGTGTCCTTGCCCAAACTCAAAAAAGCTTATGAAAAAGGTACCAGGGGCAGCTCATGGGGCCCCCTACTGACCCTGGGCCCGAGTGTCCAAATGGTCAGTCCACCCCTGACGCTGAGCCAGGTGCCACTCCAGATCTTGGGCCGGATCCCAATTTTGAAGTCGGGATCTTTCTCCAGTCTGGACCAGCTGAGTGACGTCAGCCAATAGCGGGCTTCAGCCCACTGTCAGCTGAAAATGGGTTACAGGAGTGCAGAACAAACTACACTCCTGTGATCCACAGGAGAAGTACAGCCAAAAGAGCTTTGACCTTACTTATTTAGGCAGAAACCCCTGGTGTCTCTTCCTCAGTGAGCATTTCTGTACCTGAAGCTTCAGGTGAAAGGCACCCACCTCTCTAGTCGAGCTTCCAGAGACAGGATTCCTATCAACTGTCAACCCAACATTTCCTATTCCTGATATGTGCCTGCTGTGCCATGTATTTGTTTGAAGAAGTCTCCTGTTCTTTTTGTATTGCTTCCTTTGTGTGAAATTCCTGGTGTTCCTGGCAGTCCCTCTGCTTTCCTATTAAAACTGACCACACTAGGCAGGAGAGCACAGTGTGGTCAGTTCTCTAGCTGTGTTGGGAACTCAGCCTGCTCTCCTCCAATGATCAGACGTGTCCTGACACCCCCCCCCCCCCTTTCGCCCAGTGGGAAGATCAGTGTACTGCTGTTTCACCTCACCCCTCTATGCAACTGAGAACAGAGGGAATGTGACCACTTATGAAGGTGAGAGTTTAAATCCATGTTCCTTCAGGCTCTCAGCAATAACACGAGCTGAGGTTCGGTTGCAGGACAACATCTCTGGAACACACACATGCTTTCTCCCAGGGAAAGAGAGCTCTAATCAGATCCTACCAAGTATTTATCTTCTCCCTAGTGACACCTTCTGGGTCAGCCTACTAGAGATTGGCTAAGGTAAGATAGCTATTCATAATTCAGTGACTGATCCTCCCATTTCTAGGATATTTTTCCAGACCAGGAAGAAGAAATAAGCCAACAGGTTTAGAGATAAACCCGATCAGACCTAAAAAGTAAATTTTAGCTCAACTTTACATTAAATGTAGTCAGCCCAGGGCAGGGACTCTACGCACACATACAGGGGTCGGACAAAATTATGGAAACAGCAGGTAAAAAAACTAAATCATTACCTGTAGAGATGAGCGAATTATTCAAAAATTCGATTCGACTGATTCGCCGAATTTGCGGAATAAATTCGATTCGATGCAAATTTATTCGCTGCGAATTTAACTTATTAAAAGGGTTTCTAGGCTTCAGAGAGCCTTTATATTAGTGCTGAACACTGTACCTTTAATTTAAATGCCCTTGGAGTCTGCTGGGGAAGAGAAATAATACTGTCAGGCAGTATGACATGCAGATGAGTGCCGTCGATCTTAGAATCACCGCACACTTCACTCATTTGGGCAGTCACGGGGCCAAAACCAGAGTGTGAAGCCACAGTGTGGCGGTGGAGGCAGCAGCAATGGGAGGCCATACAGCACCCTATGACAAAAATGGAAACCACCAGCAGTGTGAGGAGACCTGAAAGTGGCACATGGCAGAGTGTGGCGATGGAGACAGCAGCAATGGGAGGCCGTACAGGGACCCATGACACACTCTGGACCTGGCAGCAGCATGAGGAGGCGGTACAGGGGCCCATGGCAGATTACGGGCCTGGCAGCAGCAATGGGAGGCCGTACAGGGACCCATGACACACTCTGGACCTGGCAGCAGCATGAGGAGGCGGTATATAGGGGCCTATGGCAGATTACGGGCCTGGCAGCAGCATGAGGAGGCGGTACAGGGGCCCATGGCAGAGTGGCGAAGCGTAAGCAGCTTAAATTGAAGGCCATACAGAGGCCTATGTTAAAAAGTCCCCCCAGCAGCAGTGTGGGGAGACGACTATCAAGAGTCCAATGGCAGAGTGGCGGAGCAGAAGCAGCTTCAATTGAAGGCCAATAGTGGTTGTGAAGCAGAAAGTCAGTTTATTTAGCACAATCGGTCAATTGCAGCTTGCCGTTGGCTGGAAACTGTACGTTTATGTCACTGGAATGCACTAATCACCCAAAAAATATTACCGCCAGCCGGCGTGTAAATGGATTTAACTCTTTGAACGTACAATAGTGGTTGTGAAGCAGAAAGTCAGTTTATTTAGCACAATCGGTCAATTGCAGCACCAACTGTGCACGACAGCCACCAAAAAAAAAAAGGGTGTATGTCACTTTAAATTTTCGATTCTTTGATAGCTGTGGCCCTAAGTAACGATTCTGTGTCCCTGAGTAACGATTCTGTGTCCCTGAGTAACAATTCTGTGTCCCTGAGTAACGATTCTGTGTCCCTGAGTAACGATTCTGTGTCCCTGAGTAACGATTCTGTGGCCCTAAAGTCTCTGTGGCCCTAATGCAGGCCATAGATGGGTCGAAAATCGGCCGATTTTTCGGCCGAAAATAAAATCGGCCGATTTTCGGATCGTTAGTGGGCTATTTGGTCGGCCGTTTTTCGGTATTTTGGTCGTTTTTTTTTTCTGTAAAGTTGGAAAAATAAGTCGGCCGATTTTGCCGATCGGCCGATTTTCGCGGCAATAGTGGGCAAATCGGACGATTTTTTGCCGATAAAAAATCTGCGCATGAGCAGTGACCTGCAAGAGGAAGACAAAAAGAAGAAAAAGAAGAAGAGGAAGAGGATGAAGAAGAGGTTGAAGAAGAAGAAGAGGAAGAAGAGGATGAAAAAGAAGAGGATGAGGAAGAGGAAGAAGAAGAAGAAGAAGAGGATGAGGATGAAAAAAGAAGAAGAAGAAGAAGAGGATGAGGATGATGAAGAAGAAGAAGAAGAAGAAGAAGAGGAGGAGGATGAGGATGAAGAAGAAGAAGAGGATGAGGATGAGGAAGAAGAAGAAGAAGAAGAAGAAAGGAATGAGGATGAGGATGAGAAGAAGAAGAAGAAGAAGAAGAAGAAGAAGAGGATGAGGATGAAGAAGAGGATGAGGATGAAGAAGAAGAAGAGGATGATGGTGAGGAAGAAGAAGAAGAGGATGAAGATGATGAAGAAGAAGAAGAAGAAGAAGAGGAGGAGGAGGATGATGATGAAGAAGAAGAAGAGGATGAGGATGATGATGAAGAAGAAGAGGATGAGGATGAAGAAGAAGAAGAAGATGAGGATGAAGAAGAAGAAGAAGAGGAGGATGAGGATGAAGAAGAAGAAGAAGAGGATGAGGATGAAGAAGAAGAAGAAGAAGAAGAAGAAGAGGATGAGGATGAAGAAGAAGAAGAGGATGAGGATGAGGAAGAAGAAGAAGAAGAAGAGGATGAAGAAGAAGATGAGGATGATGAAGAAGAAGAAGAAGAAGAAGAGGATGAGGATGAAGAAGAGGATGAGGATGAAGAAGAAGAAGAAGAGGATGATGGTGAGGATGATGAAGGAGAAGAAGAGGATGAGGATGATGAAGAAGAATAAGAAGAGGATGAGGATGAAGAAGAAGAAGAAGAGGATGAGGATGAAGAAGAAGAAGAAGAAGAGGATGAGGAAGAAGAAGAAGAGAAGAGGATGAAGAAGAGGATGAGGATGATGAAGAAGAAGAGGATGATGGTGAGGATGAGGATGATGATGATGAAGAAGAAGAGGATGAGGATGAAGAAGAAGAGGATGAGGATGAAGAAGAGGGAAGTATGAAGAAGAAGAAGAAGAAGAAGAGGATGATGGTGAGGATGAGGATGATGATGAAGAAGAAGAAGAGAGGATGAGGAAGAAGAAGAAGAAGAAGAAGAAGAGGATGAAAGAAGAAGAAGAAGAAGAAGAAGAGGATGAGGAAGAAGAAGAGGATGAGGATGAAGAAGAAGAAGAAGAGGATGAGGATGAAGAAAGAAAGAAGAAGAGGGATGAGGATGAAGAAGAAGAAGAGGATGAGGATGAAGAAGAAGAAGAAGAAGAGGATGAGGAAGAAGAAGAAGAAGAAGAAGAAGAAAAGAAGAGAAGAGGATGAGGATGAAAGAAGAAGAAGAGGATGAGGATGAAGAAGAAAAAAGAAGAGGATGAGGATGAAGAAGAAGAAGAAGAAGAAGAAGAAGAAGAAGAGGATGAGGATGAAGAAGAAGAAGAGGATGAGGATGAAGAAGAAGAAGAAGAGGATGAGGATGAAGAAGAAGAAGAAGAAGAAGAAGAAGAAGAGGATGAGGATGAAGAAGAGGATGAGATGAAGAAGAAGAAGAGGATGATGGTGAGGAAGAAGAAAAGAAGAAGAGGATGAGGATGAATGATGAAGAAGAGAAGAAGAAGAAGAAGAAGAAGAGGAGGATGAGGATGAAGAAGAAGAAGAAGAAAAAGGGGATGAGGATGAAGAAGAAGAAGAGGATGAGGATGAAGAAGAAGAGGATGAGGATGAAGAAGAGATGAGGATGAAGAAGAAGAAGAAGAAGAGAAGAGGATGAGAGAAGAAGAAGAAGAAGAAGCAGAAGAGAAGAGGATGAGGAAGAAGAAGAAGAGGATGAGGATGAGGATGAATGAAGAAGAAGAAGAAGAAGATGAGGATGAAGAAGAAGAAGAAGAGGATGAGGATGATGAAGAAGAAGAAGAAGAAGAAGAGGATGAGGAATGATGAAGAAGAAGAGGATGAGGATGAGGAAGAAGAAGAAGAGGATGAGGATGATGATGATGAAGAAGAAGAGGATGAGGATGAGGAGGAAGAAGAAGAAGAAGAAGAAGAGGATGAGGATGAAGAAAGGATGAGGATGATGAAGAAGAAGAGGAGATGAGGATGAAGAAGAAGAAGAAGAAGAAGAGGATGAGGATGAAGAAGAAGAGGATGAGGATGAAGAAGAAGAAGAAGAAGAAGAGGATGAGGATGTAGAAGAAGGGAAAAAAGGATGAGGATGAAGAAGAAAAAGAGGATGAAGAAGAAGAAAAAGAGATGAGGATGAAGAAGAAGAAGAAGAAGGATGAGGATGAAGAAGAAGAGGATGAGGATGAAGAAGAAGAGGATGATGTTGAGGAGGAGAAGAAAGAAGAGGATGAGGATGATGACGAAGAAGAAGAAGAAGAAGAAGAAGAAGAAGAAGAAGAAGATGAGGATGTGGAGGAAGAAGAAGAAGAGGATGAGGATGAGGAAGAAGAAGAGGATGAAGAAGAAGAGGATGAGGATGAAGATGGAGAGAGAGAGAGAGGATGAGGATGAAAGAAGAAGAAAGGAAGAAGAGGAAGAGAGGGAGGAAGAAGAAGAAGAAGAAAAGAAGAAGAAGAAGAAGAAGCAGAAGAAGAAGACGATGAGGAAGAAGAAGAAGAAGAAGAGGATGAGGATGAAGAAGAGAAGAAGGATGAGGATGATGAAGAAGAAGAAGAAGGATGAGGATGATGATGAAGAAGAAGAAGAAGAAGAAGAAGAGGATGAGTAAGAAGAAGAAGAAGAGGATGAGGAAGAAGAAGAAGAAGAAAGAAGAAGAAGAAGAAGAAAAAGAAGAAGAGGATGAGGATATGAAGAAGAAGAAGATGAGGATGAAGAAGAAGATGAGGATGAGGATGAAGAAGAAGAAGAAGAAGAAGAAGAAGAGGATGAGGATGAGGAAGAAGAATCGGGAAGAAGAAGAAGAGGAGGATGAAATGAAGAAGAAGAAGAAGAGGATGAGGATGAAGAAGAAGAAGAAGAGGATGAGGATGAAGAATGGAGGATGAGGATGATGGAGGATGAAGAAGAAGAAGAAGAAGAAGAAGAAGAAGAGGATGAGGATGAAGAGGAAGAAGAAGAAGAAGAAGAAGAAGAGGATGAGGATGAAGAAGAAGAAGAAGAGGATGAGGATGAGGATGAAGAAGAAGAAGAAGAAGAAGTAGGATGAAAATAAGAAGAATTCCAGTACAGCAAAAAGTGTATCTGCAGAGAGCTCCGCTATTTCTGACAGTTCTCTGACAGTTCCTTCACATTTACAGCGGTTGAAACATTGTATCTATTTGTTTCCGAATAAAAACATCTGTATCCTAAATGGAAACAAATAGATACAATGTTTCAACCGCTGTAAATGTGAAGGAACTGTCAGAGAACTGTCAGAAATAGCGGAGCTCTCTGCAGGGACACTTTTTGCCGGCTGTAGAAGGGATGAAAATCGGCCGATCGGGGAAAATTCGATTCGTGCATCCGAAGTTTGCTAATTTTCGGATTCGGCGCGCGAATCGAATTTTTCTAATATTCGAAACGAATTCCACTTCGCCAAGTTCGATTCGCTCATCTCTAATTACCTATTATGGTGTTGAACTGCCCATAGCATCCAAGATGGCCTGAATTCTCCTGGGATTTGACAGTCTTGGATGGTGGATCATGGAATCTGACATCAGTCTTCATGCAAAATCGTGTTAGTCCTCACAGATGTCGGAGGTGGAAAATGAGCCAGAAACTTGTTCTCCAAAATTGACCACAGTGGCTCTATGACAGTGGTTCTTAACCTGGGTTCGATCGAACCCCAGGGGTTCGGTGAGTCAGTCTCGCGGGTTCGGCGGAGGTGAAGACTCACACCCGACTCATATGATTCGTGCAGTAAATATTCATTATTATGTTTTTTGTTTTTGTGTGAAAATCATGTTTTAATGGTTTTGTTCATTTTGTGCACCTATGTATAAATATATACCTAAATATATACCTATGTTTTGAATTTTAAAAATCATATTTTATTTTTCCTATTAAGAAGGGTTCGGTGAATGCGCATATGAAACTGGTGGGGTTCAGTACCTCCAACAAGGTTAAGAACCACTGCTCTATGATATTGAGGTCCAGCGACTGTGGTGCCCACAAATGGACAACACCAGCTGTGTGAATCAGAGCATTATTGTCTTGG